TTTTTCGATTCAAATGGGAAAGTAGAATGAGCCCATAATGGACCCCAATTATATACACTTTTGCTAATGTGTAATAATTGGTGCACATTATATGTCATAGCACGTTTTTTGTACAATGTTTCTACACCTAGCACAAACTTATGTAGCGACTCATCAATTTTGTCTAATTCCTCTATTGATAGGGAAGTTTTTAAAAGGCCATATAAACTTTCTGCTAATAATAACCAATGCTGCAGAATTTCATTATTTACTACAGTTCCAAATAGAGGTACACTGTAGTATAATAGCCAATTTTCCCATTCTCTTGCTTTCCACTGATGTCTATCTTTTAATGATCTTGTTAATCGACATAACTGATTTGGAACTTTAATTTCAAGCAAAAGAGAATTTAGTTGCTCAATGTCACTTCTCTTCAGTAATTTTAAAACACATTCAGTTATTTGTTTTGCAACTCCGGCTAAATAACAGTGCAAGTAATCTGGTACAAAACCATCGATTATATTAAAAAATGGCAAGTTAATTAGAGATGTAACATTTTTTATACCCATGATAACAGTTCCGGATTTAATAGCTCGTTCGCCGTTTATTATCGTACATACAACGTCTCTCTCTATTGGACGATAATGAAGAATTGGAAATCTCACGCATCCGTCATGCCATTTTCCAGGATGTAAACACCAACTACAGGAATTGTAAGCATTGAATTGTACTAATCCTTGCATTGGAGCACGAGCTACAGCATCGACACAACATATGAGCATGTATAATTTAAGTAATCGCTTCTCTCCATGGATTGTACATTCTATCCCCTTTTCGTTCAACATACTCATTTCTTTAACAAATATATGTAAGAAAGTATTCATTTCTGGTTTATTCTTACCAAACCACATTCCACATGTTATCACGTTTTTCAATCGGAATTGAGGTGGTAACTCATTGATTTGGATTTGTATCGGCCATATAGAATCCTGAGAACTTTCAAATCTTGGTGCACCATCCGTATTGAATACAGCAGTGACATATCGATTTCTTTCATGTTCAGATAAGTTGTTTACAAACTTTTTATAACAATATCCATCATAAATATCTTTAATTTCTCCAGTTTCATTCAACCTCTCGCGCACAATATAATTATAATAATCTTCATGGCTCTGTATAAGATTTGAAATTTCTTTTGCAGGATCAAGAATCACAAAAAACTTAGAGGAAGATAAATTTGAGACATTAATTGATGAGGCGCACATATTACAATAAATCTCATTACCAATTTCTGTTTTCTTTCCCAAATAATTGTTACAATTAGGACAAATTGTATGGAACTGTGCCTTATTTTCAAAATTAAACAGTTTGTCGATGAGATAACGTGATTCTGGCAATATAGGACTTTCAAATATATTATTGATCAAACTTATTAAATTACTAATTGCAGTTAAGGGTAGCATGTAAGTATTACTAAACTGCAATATCATTAACATAAGTTCAGCACAATTTGTTTTAATCGGAGTTGTAATTGTTTGCAAATTATCTGAGATTAAAAGAAATTCCAAAATATTTCTAGCTGTTGTCTTGGAATGTAAGCTACTAAAATATTCTTCATTACTTGACGAACATTCCTGAAGTGAATTAAATGATTCCGATTTGTCACAAATTTTTACCTAAAACAATTTATGTAATAATGATGATGTTGAAATTATAAATACTAATAACTATATAAGATGTCCCATTTTAAAGAATCCAGGCAAATATCTTGAAAAATATGGAAGATACGGAAAAACGTTTCATACAAAAGTTTTATGACTTCGAGACGGACATAAGATGGTACCATTATTGTTTGGACCTTGGATAGTCATTTGAAGGTCACATAAAGATCACCATCAATCTCTTAAATTAAACCCCCCATATTTTATTACATTTTTTTATAGCTTATTACATTTTCTTATAGCTTACCTCGAGAGTTTTTCGAAACATTATAATGAAGTATTTTTTCATTAAGTTTTTTTAAGTTAAAGACTTGAAAGTTACAGCACCACCGGCATTAGCATTACCCAAGGTGTACC